GCACCTTCAAGAGCAAGGCTCCCAAACCCGGACAGAAGGGCTTCGGAGACGACATCCCAGGAATGGAGGGTCTCGGCACAGGTAATGCGGAGTTTAAACACCCTAAACTAAATCAACACAAGTGCTGTTATTTATGTGTACAGTTTATTTGTGTTTGGTTTACTCCACTGAGATTTATAAAACATTGTGAGCGTAATCATTCAGTGTTTGGTTGGAAATGAATTGTGTTGGTGAAACTACCTGACTGGTGGATATGCAGTTCCCAGCATGCCTTGTGTTGGATTTAACTAACTTAAGTTACACCATGATATACATATATATAAACAGTATATAGTGAATGCATTGGAGTGTTTTGAATGACATGAGGCTGACGGTTTTCCTCCTCTGGTCTGTCGACAGACATCACTGTGATCTGCCCGTGGGAAGCGTTTGGAGACATGGAGCTCAGCGATCTGGCCAAATATGGCATTCTGTAAATGATGTTAAATCTACAGTAAAATCAGCAGCTCAGAGGATCATTTATTCATCACACACACACCGACGGCGGCAGCAGGCGCTCTCAGGCCAACACACACAGAGAAACGGATGGACTGAATGGATATACGGAGCAGTGTTCCTCAGGGAGGAGCTGCTGTTCTTCAGCTGGAGCTCCAGATTGGGTTTAATCCCTCTCCTATTGCCTGCAGCACAGCAGAGAAATAATGTGATCAAATCTGCTTTATTTTCTTGAACTGTGCATGAGATTGTGTTTGTGCCTGATTGATTTGACATAGAGCACACAAAAATAAAGATTTATTTTCCCATAAGTGTGTGTGATGAGTATTGTGTGTCCAATCTGACAGACTGTCTTTAAACTGGTTCAGCATTAAACTCCTTCATCTACAAACTTGCATTAATTCATTGTGAACCAATAATATGATACGTTGCTGTTCATGTTAGCGACTAACACAACGCAAACTGTGAAATACCAACACTCTAGTTAGATGAATGCTGTTTAAAACAGTACATTTTAACATTTAAAAATACACTTCAATTCAACTCTATGGTGATTTTCACAGTTATTATCGTTGCAACTTTCAAATAAGCGTTACAGAATCGTGCACATTATTATAATTAAGTTAGTCCAAATTAGAACACTTAGGGAGTTGTGTATAGTGAATAGCCTACCTGCTGTTATAGTAGTGTCCTTCCAAAATGGTGTATAAAGCGTGAACACACCGTTTAACACACAGCAACTTACAACATTACAACTTACAACTATTGTTAATCAGAGGAATTAATGAAACAGCATTTTCTGTTTAAGTATATACATGCGCATGCGCAGCAACAGCGCGCGGAGTATGAAGCAAAAAGGCGCGAATGTCTGAGGTGAGGCGATTTTACGTCACATATTTTTGATGGAAAGATAACTCTAGTAAAGCGAGAGTGCTTTTATGTTCGGGTTGTCAGCTGTTAAAGTTAAAGGGAGAAACATCTAGCTTATTTTCTGTTATTAGGTTAATATCCTGCTTTTATTACGCGGAAACACTCGATGGTAATCACTGAGAGGAGTAATGTCGACATCTGCTGGACACTAGAAGAAAACTGCCTATAATAATGAACACTAATTCTAATGGCGCTTTCAGACAGTACACAGACATCACTCAAATATGACCTCATGAAGACACAAATATATTTACCCCAAATCGTTTCATAACCTCTCTTTATATTGTCTACAATGTTGTTTATGCACAGCAATAAGAAGACGATGACTCCCGGTGAAATGTTTATGAGCAGTTCCAGCATGATGATGTGACATTTGCAGTGAAAACTTTAAATTTTAATTCATTCATTCATTCATTCATTTTCTTGTCAGCTTAGTCCCTTTATTAATTCAGGGTCACCACAGCGGAATGAACCGCCAACTTATCCAGCAAGTTTTTACGCAGCGGATGCCCTTCCAGCCGCAACCCATCCCTGGGAAACATCCACACACACACTCATACACTACGGACAATTTAGCCTACACAATTCACCTGTACTGCATGTGTTTGGACTGTGGGGGAAACCGGAGCACCCGGAGGAAACCCACGCAAACGCAAGGAGATCATGCAAACTCCACACAGAAACGCCAACTGAGCTGAGGCTCGAACCAGCGACCTTCTTGCTGTGAGGCAACAGCACTACCTACTGCACCACTGCTTCGCCCTAAAATATTAATTCACAGAGAAAGTTTATGTTAACATTACATTAAAACATCTGTTTATTTTCCAAAACAACAAACTTCACCCTGCTGAAAAATCCAGCTTAAACCAGCCTAGGCTGGCTGGTTTTAGAGGGGTTTTGGCCATTTCCAGGCTGGTTTCCAGCCATTTCCAGTCTGGTCTTACCTGGTCAGGTTGGAAAATGACTAGCTAAATCCAGCTAAAACCACCTTGACCAGCCTGGTTTAAGCTGGACATAGCTGGTTTTGGCTGGGCTCCCAGCCTAGCTGGCTAGGGTGGTCAAGCTGGTTTTAGCTGGTCATCTCCCAGCCTGACCAGCTAAGACCAGCCTGGAAATGGCTGGAAACCAGCCTGGAAATGGCCCAAACCCCTCTAAAACCAGCCTGGTCGACCAGCTAAAACCAGCCAAACAGCCTAGGCTGGTTTAAGCTGTTTTTTTCAGTAGGGCAGAGTTACGGATCAGTAAAATATGTCTTTACATTTGTTTTTAGATTTTAAATGTGGAAAATGAACATGCGTTATGGATGTGACCACAAGAGTCTGTGAATTTTCAGTTTACAACATCCTTTGTAGAAATTCAGTAAGTTAACCTGCACAACCCAAAAGAAACAACGCTAATCAAGAGGACACGAGATGCTCACTATAGAGCAAACATGTTGATTTCATTGATTTATTTTTAAAAAAATAATAAAAAACATATAAGAGAGGGCACATAAATATTAAATTACAAATAAATATACTACACACATTTTACCAATTTTACTTATTAACAAGAGTTATTAAATGCACTTACAGTACAGTAAAGGGGCAGCATATATTAACTGTTTTAATTGCTTTTCTGTTTTAGACTTAGAAATCTTGAATCTCTTTTTCTAGCACCATGAACAGAGGTCTGCTTTTGGCAAACCTGGGTTTATGTATGTGAAATTTACATAATAATAAAACCAGCATCTTTTAAAGAGCGATCCTTAACATAATAACCCAAAATCACACATTTATTGGGAAAACTATATTTTAAAAAATGATGGCCAATAATAGCTTCACCATTAATGCAAAAAGGTGGAGTATATTGGCAAGATCAAAATAAATGTGAACTAGTTTCATTAAAGCTTTCTCAGAAACAGCATTCTAACTCAATAACAATCAAAACATTTTGTAGAAATATTTCTATAAGATAAACTTTATGAAGTAAATTAAACTATTTTCAGTTTTACGAGGTTTCTTTCACAGCATCAGTGTTATAACATTAGTTCACAGACGCCACGGCCAGATTGTTTTGCTTGTTTTAAAGAAAAACTCACTTCTTTTTGACTCTGAGATTAACACTGTGTTTTGTGCTTGTCAATGCTTCTTGATTTAAGAATCTTTTGATATTTGCACTAGAAACAAGACAAACTCTGAGTAAGAGGACATTCAGAGAGATGCACAATAATCATAATGTTCTGATTTAATGAATAAATTTACATTCATTATTATTCATTCACTTGCCCAATTACTCTAGTTTGTTCCTATTTTCCACAGCGTTGTGTTGGTTTCTCATGGCATTATGAATGATTATCATTTTTATTCTCTATGTATGTCATTATTATCCAGTTAAATTGTTATTATTTTCCTTGTATATTATTACTAATACTATTGTTATCATCTCCCACACACATATACACATTCACAGACAGGCACATACAGATATATACAGTTGTAGTCAGAATTATTCACCCCCTTTGAATTTATTTTCTTTTTTAAATGTTTCCCAAATTATGTTGAACAGATTCAGGAAATGTTCACAGTGTGTCTGATAATAATTATTCTTCTGGAGAAAGTCTTATTTGTTTTATTTCGGCTAGAATAAAAGCAGTTTCTAATTGTTTAAACACCATTTTAAGGTCAATATTATTAGCCCTCTTAAGCTATGTTTCTTTCAGGTAGCCTCCAGAGCAATCCATCGTTATATAATGACTTACCTAATTACCCTAACCTGCCCAGTTACCCTAATAACCCTAGTGAAGCCTTTAAATGTCACATTACGCTGTATAGAAGTGTCTTGAAGAATATCTAGTCTAATATTATTTACTGTCATCACGACAAAGAGAAAATAAATCAGTTATTAGAGATGAGTTATTAGAAATGTGTTGGAGAAATCTGCTCTATATTAAACAGAAAATAGGGAAAAAATAAACAGTGGATGAATAATACTGACTTTAACTGTATATACACACACACACACACACATACAAACATGCAAACACACATATGCAAACACACACAGACACACACACACATGCACAGACACACATGCGCTAATAAGCAGACACTATATATACACACACAGTGTCCTTAATCAGTGTCGGGGCAGAGCAGTTTACGGATTAGAGCTGTTAACGCCATTTAGTAAAGTTCTTCTATATCTGTGTGTGTGTGTGTGTGTGTGTGTGTGTGTGTGTGTGGATCAGAATATCAGCAGATGGTGTTTTAGCTGCTCAGAGTTAAAAACAGACTCAGTGAAAGAGAGTTCAGGAAAACTGACCTGAAATAAACCAGCGCGGGCATCACAGCACACCTGAACTCAGGACACACTGATCATCATCATCATCATCATCATCATCAAAATAAAATGAAACACTGCTGATTTACTCTCCAGATTAAAGTATTAAATCATTATTTGACAAGCACAATATGGCTAACACCTTGGTTTGAATACACATGTGAATTACGGGCTTATTACCGTATTAAAATAATGCTGTTTATTAGCACTCATAAAGAATGATCCTGTTTTACACCCCTGATCCTGCTCAATGCCTAAACCCAATAACTAACCATTATAAGCAGCTATTCAGTCATTTATTGAGCTAAAAGTCTTAGTTAAATATATTTTTTACAGTGAGAAATGTACCCAAAATAAACACTTTACATTCAGGTTTCATTAATTAATGTGTTCACTAAGGAACTAATAATGATCAATACTTGTACAGCGTTTATTAATCATAGTTCAGCATTTACTAATGCATAATTACAGTTAAAGTTCATGCAGTTATTGCACTGAGAGTTAATAAGAACAATAAATGTACTGTATTTACATTAATAATGGTAACTAAGATGAATAAATACACTAATAAACGTGTTGTTCATGTTAGTGATTACATGACCGTAAATAATAGCTTACTGTAAAGCGTTACTAAACAAAGTCTGACTGAAATAATAAATAAATAATAAAAAAGAGCATTAAAATGTGTGATTCGCCATCTTTTATTGCTGATCACCTGATCATTAATAACGTCTTCACAACACACACACTGACGCATGATCAATATTATGTTTTGAAAATGACTACCAGTTTCAGGATGTTTAGCCCAAATTCACATTACACAACATTCCTGTTAGAGGTGTGCAACATGATGAAATCTCCTCTAAACATGTGTATAAATAAAAATACAAACTGAACATTATCAGCATTGAGAGATGTGCACAATTCAGCATAACATGAGCAGCATGGAGAAAATGCATATTAATCAACTCATGCATTTCATTTCATTTTATTTCTACAGCGCTTCTCACAGTAATCGGCAGCTTTACAAAAGGTGTGTGTTATCAAAACGCATGTGTGTGTGAGAGAGACTTACAATACCCTTAATAAGCCATGTGTGTTTGCACACTAATGTCCTCAGCAGCATCCAGAGCTGAAAATACTCCCTCATGTGTGTGTGTGTGTGTTAATCTCTCGATCCTTCTGTGTGTTTCTGTGAGCTTCACAGATTAGTGCAGCGCTATAAAAGCAGCCGGCGAACACACCACACACACGCTGAACTGCAGAGAAGAAGAGCAGAAACACACCTGAACAAACAGAAGCTCCAGCACAGGTAAGAGACCCACGACACACACACACACACACACACACACACACACACACACACACACACACACACACCTCATTTTACTTTGACAGCTGCATATCACTGCAGTCATTTACCAACACAGAACATGCACACAACAACGCTTAACACACATTTGCACACACTACTGAAGGATGAGTAAGAAACGCGAGTTGTGTGTGTGTTTTATATCCTTAAAGGAGACAGGGTTTGTACATGTGTGTGAAGAGTGTGTGTGTTGTGAGAGAGTAGGTACACAGTTGTGTAATATTATGCATAGCTTATTTTAATCAATGTATATACACACACACACACACACACACACACACACACACACTGGTTGCAGCAGGTTTCCTGCAGGCTATAAGCAGAAGCTCTGGCATATGCGTGTCAGATGTAGGCTAGGCTAATGTGATGCTAATGCCTGTAATTGGAGCATCTTCACACTAGATCAGCACTATTATGTAAAGAGCTTTACTGTTCACACTGTCTGCACACACACACACACACACA